CTGATAAGGGCCTAATCTCCAAAATTTATAGGGAACTCATACAACTTAACAAAAGGAAGATAAACAATCCAATCAAAAAATGGGCAAAGGACCTAAATAGACACCTTTCAAAAGAGGACATTCAGAAAGCCAAGAGACATATGAAAACATGCTCAAAGTCACTAATCATCCGAGAGATGCAAATCAAAACAACAATGAGGTACCATCTCACACCTGTCAGACTGGCTATCATCAACAAATCAACAAACGACAAGTGCTGGAGAGGATGTGGAGAAAAAGGAACACTTGTGCACTGCTGGTGGGAATGCAGACTGGTGCAGCCACTATGGAAGACAGTATGGAGTTTCCTTAAAAAACTGAAAATGGAACTCCCATTTGACCCTGTGATCCCACTTCTAGGAATATATCCCAAGAAACCAGAAACACCAATCAGAAAGGATATATGCACCCCTATGTTCATAGCAGCACAATTCACCATAGCTAAGATCTGGAAACAGCCTAAGTGCCCATCAGTAGATGAATGGATTAGAAAACTGTGGTACATCTACACGATGGAATACTATGCTGCTCTAAAAAGGAAGGAACTCTTGCCATTTGCAACGTCATGGATGGAACTGGAGAGCATTATGCTAAGTGAAATAAGCCAGTCAATGAAGGAAAAATACCACATGATCTCACTCATTCATGGATAATAGAGACCATTATAAACTTTTGAACAATAATAGATACAGAGGCAGAGCTGCCTCAAACAGATTGTCAAACTGCAGCAGGAAGGCCGGGGAGGGTTGGGGGGCAGGAGGTAGGGGAGTAAGAGATCAACTAAAGGACTTGTATGCATGCATATAAGCATGACCAGTGGACATAAGACATTGGGGGATAGGGGAGGCTAGGGGAATGTCTAGGGCGGGGGGATAAAATGGACACATATGTAATACCCTTTGTAATACTTTAAGCAATAAAAAAAAAAAAAAAAAAAAAAAGTAAAGCCATACGAGCAGGGTAAGGAGTCTGGGTTTAATGCTGAGTGTGATAGGAAGCTGTTTGGGGGAGGGGAGACAAAAATAGAAGTCAGGACAGCCATTATGTATCCCAGCAGTGATGTGAGAAATGACTGGGATGGCAGCAGTAAGCAGTTCAGAAGTTGGTGGTGCAGTGGTATGTGGGCTCGCCTTCTCACCTCAGGCACTGGGACCCAGGATGACAGGCCTCTGAGGTAGAAGGAGACCAGGTGAGCGTCCCATCTGCTTATCGCCTGCAGAATTCCTGTTCCACCTTCAAGTCCCTATTTCCCGGGGAAACCGTCCCCAGCTCAGCATGATGGTCCCTATCAAAGAGCTGCCTCTTACCATTTACTCCTGGGTATTGTGCCTCTTTCCCTAGACACCACTAGGTGCGGGAGGGCCTCACGGTCATCTGCTCCCGCGCCCTGATCTTACCCATGAGTGGACTGAGGGTTCAGGGCTGCCGCTAAGCTCGTCTCTCGATCCCCACTCTGGTGTTGTTTTCACTTCATCCACAACTTTTCACTCATGAATGCCCCATGTTCCCAACTAGATTATAAGCTTTCTTTTCATCTTTTTATTTGCAATTTCATTAAAGATTTTCCTCTTCTTTGATCTCCCTCGCATCTAGCTTAATGCCGGGCACAAACAGATGTTCACCAAATATGTGCTGGTTAGATGCTCTGCACATCACGGAGCTCACTACTGATGAATCTCCTGCTCCCTCCGCCCCATCACGGTTAGCCTGCCTCCCCACACGAGACCTGACAGCACTTATCTGGGAATCCTCACTGCTGAGTCCCATCCCCCCTCACACCCCCCCCCCCCCATCCCTGCACCTGAGCACGCAGCAGAATCTGGCTCTGAAGGGAAGGGCCTGGAGAGGAGGTCTTTCCATGGAATTGTTATGCTAGGACTACAGTTAGTCTTGGAGTCTGGATATTAGGCCCAAACCCAAACCAGGGGGTGTTATTGAGAAGATGTGACTGCGCATTTCATGTTTGCCTTTCATGGACCCTCACGTGTCTCTCATGAGAAATAAAAGGGCAGATTCTGAGGACCCAGCCCCAGAGGTGAGGATCTGCCATGGGGGGGACGGAGAGGAATTCATACTTGCCCAAAGGACCACTGTTCTCTGTGTGAATGGAAGGAGGTTGCATTTCCCAATGTTAGAATATCTATTACCACCTGTTCACTGAGATATGTTTCCCAACAGAGGCATTTAAAGTCTGTATTCACCCCCCCTCACCCCCCCCCCCAGGGACCCCAGTAAGGTGGTGGCAGCAGAGGGTGGGAAGTCTGCACCCCACGCTCCCCAGTCAGTCACCAATCCACAGGTCAGAGGGGCGGGCTCAGCACCCTGGGCAGAAAGCTGGGGCGGGTGGGGTCCTTGCCTGCTATGTCCCTGTCTCCCCCACCATGTGTCAGAGCACATTGTTATTTCCATTGTCAAAACATGCCGCTAAGTAACGACGACAACACATTATTGGGGCTCTGCCTTGTGCCTGCATGGATCCATTTCTCATTATTAACGCACATTTTCAAACTGGAATTTTTAAGTGCAAGAACTACAGAAAAGTGGTAATCCTTGCTTGTAATGGAAAACAGTAGCAGATGTGGAAACTAACCCAACCTCTTCCAACTCTTCCTCATTGTCACACAGATTTCCTAACAAGTTGCACAGAAGGTTTCAAGGGCCATCTTTAGTGAGAACCCTAAAAGGTTCCTCCTCACCTATGGAAACACTAACAAGGGCTAATAAACAAAAGAAATGTTAAAAGGTTTGAAAGTCTCAGAACAGGAACTTAAGGCAAGAAGATTCTCCAATGAACTGCATTAACAGAGCAACAAGGTGTATGTTATCAACCGATAGGGCCGTTTCCATTTGACAGTTAGTCCCCCTGGACCTAATCTCTTCTTTCTTGATTTATCAACCACATCCCTGCGTCACCCCAACGCCTCACTTTAAGTTGCCCCTCCAAAGCTATCATTCACCCAGCAGTCATTCCCTCACCCTGCTCCCCTCTTGCAGCCCTCTCCTCCCTTTTCACTGATGACTGCAGTGGCCCCTGACTGGTCTCTGCACCTGAACGGCGTTAGAGCTAGGTCTTTGTTCCCCAGAGGGACTGTTTTCTTACTCCAAAATGTCACTTTCATCATCACTTCCCCATAGAATCTATGGGATGGCCCATTTTTCCACTCCCTTACTAGTTGTGGAGCTGGTGGTAATTTTTTAAACAAAGCAAAGCAAAAACAAATAAATAAAACTTTGCTACCTTGATAGATGATGCTCTGTGACTATGCTTTTAATTTTCAATTCTTTGGTTGTTGGTAAAACTGAGCACTTTTCACATTTATTGCCCATTTGTATTTCTTCCTCTGTGCTCTTGACCATTAAGTTTCATCTTTGTCCAATAAAACTTTTCCCCTAACCCAGTGGTTCCACAGTGTGGTCAGCATCAGCATCCCCCCAAGAACGTGTTAAAATGCAGAATCTCCAGCCCAGACTGACTGAGCCAGACACTGTGGGGGTGGGACTTAGAAATAGCTTTAACAAGCCCTCCAGACTCCAGACTACCCCACCCCAGACCGGGCGAGACAGAATTCATCTCACACCCAGGTGCACAACAGAGGGGCCCCGTGATGCATCCTGCCTTGCGCGACACCAGTCTTAAACAGCACAGAGGATAAGACTGCAAACTCTGGAACTGGCCTGCCCGAGTTCATAGTCTGGCTCTGTGGGTACTAGCTGCGTGGTCTCAGGAAAATGGTTTAAGTTCTCTGGGTCTCAATTTCCTCAATCAGTAAAATGGGGAAAATAATATAACCTGCCTTAAGGATTTGTTTTTAAAGGGTCAGGACCGGTGCAGCACTTAGCACAGTCCCTAGCATGCAATGCTTAGTGACGTTAGGTATGATTGGTGCCACTCTGGCCGTGTGCATTATCGCAAGGTCATGGGACTGAGGGCTGTAAGAAACTTGGCCATCGGGAGGCAAGAGGTCTAAGTAAGTATAAGCATAATGCACCTCTCTTGTTCCTGACCCCTAAAAAATATCCCTCTCCCTCTGTCTTCCGTCGACCCAACCCAGCCATTCCAAACTTCAGACCACGCTCCCACCAGGGGTGAGAGAAGAAACACAAGATACAGGACATACTGAGAAAAGCTCTTGAACTCATTTTAGCTACAGCAAGTATCGCTATTGGTTAAAAATGGGTGTGTAATTCTCTAGCATTCTATAACATCCCATTTCTTCTGGTAGTCTTCCCATTGGTTAATGTGAGTAATATTTTTTTTAAAAGGGGAGGTCCCAACATTAAGTAAGTGTTTGAAATGCCTCAGAAGGCAAGGTTAGAAAAGGTAACATATGCAAACCAGACTATGGCTCTTCATGGTGAGAAGTTGTGGACAGACTTCCCCGAGGTCATTGGTTTACGGCTACAGGATCAGTGTGCTCTGGGGAGCACTTTGGGGACCGTTATCCTACAGGAAACGGGAAAGGGTTTCCAGGATTTGGCTGACCTGTTGGTGATTGGATTCACGGAAAACCCTATATTTTAGTAAGGCATTATTTATAGAAAGAAAAGAATAAAAATATTTTTCTCTTTAAAGAAGTAGCAAATGGGGTGTTTTCTTCTGTGTGTCCAAAGACAGTGTATTTTTAAATGCTTCAGAAACATGAACTGAATGCTCTCTGCCTCACTCCACCCTCCACAAAACTCTACCGTGATATTATTTAGTATTTTTGCAAAGGAGGTGCTTCTGGAATTTATCCAACACTGGACAATTATTGGGGAGCAAAGAAGCTTTGATCCCTTAATAGTATTCTCTTCTCCATGAATATTTCCCAATATTAAACTTGTTACCTGAACCTTTTCTTTTTTTCTTGCTCAAGAAAACTGAAACTGTAATAATCCTCACTTCTCTCTTTCTCTCTCCCTCTCCTCTTCCCTTTCCTTCTCCATTCCTCCCACCCCCTATTTCTTCCCTTGTCCTTCAGGAACCTTCTGCATCATATCACTGTGCACCTGTGTGGCCGGGATCAACTTTGAGCTGTCACGCTACCCTCGCTACCTGTATGGACTCCCCGATGACATCAGCCATGGCTATGGATGGTCCATGTTCTGTGCGTGGGGGGGCCTGGGCCTCACACTCATCTCGGGGTTCTTCTGTACCTTGGCCCCTTCTGTCCAACCTGTCCCGAGGACCAACTGCCCTAAATCCAGACCCGAGAATGGGACAGTGTGCTAAAAAACAAACCCATACACATATATATATATAAATATATATATAATATACATATATAAAACAAAGCTAAATCCCGATGAAGCCAGTGCCAAGGCAGAGTGGAGGTGGCTTAGGCACCGCATCTCGTCGGACGTTGTGTGTGTTGCCTCATCGCCGAGATGGGGAAGGCGTTCCCACCACGTGGCTCTTCCATCAATTCTTAACTTTTGGTTCCATGGTTCCCTGGAGACAGAGTGAACATCACCACTCGAGACAGCATCCCAATCCCCGTCTCTCATGAGGATGGGGTGGTGGGCTGGGCAGGGACAGTGCCAGGGGGCTGGAGAGACACCGATGTAGGGAAGGAAGTGCCACCCACCAGGCCAGTCACCCCCACACTGATCATATCACAGAGAAGCAACACCCTTATTCACAGAATGTCACCAAATCTTCAAGGCTGTGGCAGAACCACTCCTCCTGCTCTTCCTGTCCTGGTTCCCTCTGGCTCACCAGTGACACATCAGAAGTGGAGGAGAGAACAAAGCAAGAAGGGAGTTTTCTCTTTGCTGCCAAACTTTTGGACAAAGTTCTAGAGGTGGGAAGGGGGAGAGACCAACCTGCTGAGAGGCAAGATCTGCATCAACGAAAGGACACTTCAGCGGATGCTCAGAAAACCCAGTCTTACCTTCCAGCTGCCTTACACCACGTTCAATAAGAGGCCGCCCTGCCCCCACCCCACCTGCACTCCCTGGGCAGCCGGAGCCTTGGAGTGATGCTGTGATGTGTGCGTGTGCGTGTGTGTGTGTGTGTGTGTGTGTGTGTGTGTGTGTGTGTGAGAGAGAGAGAGAGAGAGAGAGAGAGAGAGAGAGAGAGAGAAACTACTTTGGGTGGTTCCCTTTCTTCCTTTTCACCTTTTAGAATGGAAATACTGCATTCTGACTCTTGTCTCTCTGTCCATTGGGATGGTTTCAGGGCCCAGCATGGAGGCCCAGAGGCCAGGAAGACAATAAGGGGCAGGCCCAAGTGGGTGCCAGTTCTGCAGCTTCTGGTCCCTAGAGTGTGTGTGCGGTGGATGTTTGCTGAGTGCGGGTTTTATCGTGTGTGTTGCATTTTTCTATTATTTTTAGTGCAGCTTAAATTTCCAGAGGGCAGAACCGAGAACACCACCACTGGGCTGAGGACCCTGTGTGTCTTCACAGCCCGGTTCTTGGACACCCCAGGCTCTAGTCCCCTCATTTCAGAAGTTCACCACTCAGCTGGGCACAAGAGCTATGAGCAAAGAGGGGGACACGGTTCAAGAGGGAGGAGGAATGTGCCCTCCGCTGCTGTTGCACAAGTCTGTCCACCAAACAAGATCGTTTGCTCCCCAGCCAGGGAGCTGTCCTTCGTCACTGGACATCTACCACTTCCCTCGCGGCGACTTCTGTACAGATGAAAGCAAATGGGTCACGTGGCAGGGAGAGCACCTCCATGTCCCATGGGCTCCAGTTTGTATGATATTGTGTAAATTAATGGAGAACTCTTGTCTCTTCCCAACCTTTTCCTTTCCCTCTTGATAGTCAAGGCCATGTATCCCCACATAGCTGTCATGGTGGCCAGCACCCAAGCAGAGGTGGCCTAAATCCAGCCGGTGTCTCAGGCTCACTTGAGCCCATTGGCACACTGCAGATGATGGGCTACAAAGTCAGCTGTAGGGGCAGGCGTCTGCCAGGTGGAGTGGGTAGGAGCAGCTGGCAGCCTCCTCAGTGACCCTGCTGGGGCGGAGCAGCTCTGGGGAGTCCAGGAGAGTGTCCCCGAGCTCTGCAGCCGTGGGTCAGCTATGCAACTGAGAATTCAGTTGCTTCAGAAATAAATATGCTTTGGGAACTTTGCCAACCACTCAGCAGCCTTCCTTCCCACCCAGGCCCTCTGTTTCATCTATCTTCCTCCACCTTTTCTCACCTACTAATCACTTAGCATCTGCCTCTCCCATCCGCCAGGCTGCTAGTCCTGCCTGTCTCCTCATCTGCTCTTTCTGACTGTGTGTGTGTGTAACTCACATCCGGATAGGACATGTGGTGTGCATGGATGGGCCTGAACGTGGGTCTCTGGATGTGTGTATCCCTCTGGTGCATTTGTGTATGTTTGTGCCAATATGTACCTGACACAGGTGTGGGTGTGCTCTTCAAACTTCCTTGCCAGCAACACTGATCAGCTTCTGCAGAAGGTCCTGGGTGTGAGTGCCCTGTGCATGGGCGTGTTGGGCAATGAGGGGTGAGGGGTGTAGCGGGAAATGCTGTTAATTTCCAACTCAGCTTCTAAGGATTATTTCTAAAACAGAGGATTTGTTCTATAAGAAGGGAAATAATTTTCAGGAAAATTCAACTTTCAATTGTACAGAAAATTGTTTAAATTTTTTCTTTGAAAAGTTATATTTCCCTCTTAAGGGGAAGGGCATACTTGGGCTTGAGGAAAAGTGAGGAGAAGTATCTCAGATTGAGAGGCCATTGTCTTCCTTCCAAGTGTCTTGAGTGGGCTCCGCCGAGCAGAGAATGAATGACAGGTATCCATGAGTGTCCATTTGGGGCAGGTGGCTTTTGTGTGGCCCGACCCAAGTTCCAGATGTTTTCTAGTTGCAGGAAATCGGGGAAAGAACCCAGAAGGGGCAATTTTCTATCAATCATTTAAACTTTTCTTTAGTAACCATGCTTGAGGATGCTGCCTCACAGACCCATCACTATCTATATCCTCCTTTTTTATGCCATTCTTGCCAAAACTAGATCACCCACTCTCTCAAGTACTAATCTTTTTTTTAATATATTTTATTGATTTTTTACAGAGAGGAAGGGTGAGAGATAGAGAGTTAGAAACATCGATGAGAGAGAAACATCGGTCAGCTGCCTCCTGCACACCCCCCACTAGGGATGTGCCCACAACCAAGGTACATGCCCTTGACCAGAATTGAACCTGGGACCCTTAAGTCCACAGGCCGATGCTCTATCCACTGAGCCAAACCAGTTAGGGCTCAAGTACTAATCTTTATGAGAGACCATTAACACAGCTTACTACCTCCTTCTGAAACCTTCCTGAAATGTTAGGAGGACTCCTGGGAAAGAAGAACCATCTGGGCTCAAGTTACCATCAGCAGCGTAGGAGCTTTGAGCTGCTGTTTTGGTAATGGGGCCAGATAGGTACAGATACACACACTCTGAGGTCTGATCCTGCTTGGGGCCCAGAAAGTGCCCAGCCATGTGGCCAGGATCAAAGCCTTGCACAGATAGCAAATCCTGGCCAATGGGAGAACTTCCCAGTTGACCAGCATGGAAGCTTGAGCCCAGGTTAAAACATGCTGCTCCAAGCAGTTGCTGAAGCTTCGTGGTGTGCGGTGGCTGAGGAAGAAGAGAAGGAAGAAAGGGAGGAGAAAGAAGGGGGAACCTTGACCATAAGACTCTTTAAGTCAGATTCTGCTAACTCCATATCAATGTAGAACCCAACCTTCTGAGGGATTTAGGGTCCACAACTTCACTAAAGCCCCAGCCCCCAGTCCAGGTCAAGTTCATATTCCTTACACGTGTGCATGCAAGGCCTATGACCTTGTGTGTGTTTTGAGCTCCATGCACATCAACCTGGAGCATGGGGGCCACTTCAGCTTTTATTTTCTTCCTTACCCTATGAGTTTGAGGGGTCAAGAAAGTGGGGTGTCTGCCTGGAAAGAGGTCCTATTTCTTTCCTCCCCATTTGGCAGTTATGGTTCCTTCTTTCATTTCCTGTTCCTCTCTCCACCCACTGCTACTTTCCTTCTGCATTAACGTTGGTCAATTAAAATAGTTAAGGAATTTGTCTCTAGAGGGGCTCATACTCTCCAAGCAGCCCCTTCCTTGTATGTTGTGGCTGTAGGTTTTATAAGGAGATCTGTAGCTCCTGGGCATCAAAGTACAAAACATTCTAACATGTGCCTGTTCCAGCTTTACCCCTAGCCTTTCAACAGCTCTACCCTTTCGGCTTCAGGGATCATGAAGTCACCAAGACTCAACAACTCCACCAGATCAAGACCACACATCCATAGGCAGCACCCTGGGCCCTGGGGCCACTTTGGTATATTCTCTTGCTGAGGATAAGGGAAAAAGATAGTCCAAGGCTCTACATCTTAATATTTACCCACAGTCATAGGAGGCCTAGAATGAAGTCATCACATTTTTTTTGTGCTGAGTTAGTGGGAGGATATGCTGCTTTGGTCTCCGAAGCTGCCCACCCAAGTCAGATGCAGAATAATGAAATTGAGTCCATCACCCAGAGACATCTAGAATTGACTCTGTCTCCACCTGGCCTATTCTGAGAGCACTAATCAACTGTTTTCAAGTATCTTGGGAGAAGGAGTGGGAAGAAATACACTCTGGTCATCTTTGGTGTGGTTTAGGGGAGATTCTTGGTTGATTCTTATAGCTAAGGTGAAGCCAACTTTCTGAAAGTTGGGACCAGCCACCCCGGAGTACATATCTACCCCTTTCCAGGGAAATAAGATGAATCATCGTGAGAGGTGATTTCATCACAGATAAAACTATTTGGTGCATACCAGCCAGGTTGACTTCTGTGCTGTCATCCAGCTGGTATATAATTGAGTAAGGGGGCTGGTGTCTAAACAAGTCTACCTAAGCTGATGGACACAAACGGTTCTGGTGTCTCTCAAGGCAGTCAACTTGGTGGGCGGTGTTTGCCCTCTCTCTGTTGATGCTGCCATGGTGCAAAATGTTTCTTAAACATTATTGTTAGTTCTTAGACTACATTATTATTGGCTATTTAGTCTCCCCCACCTACCCCCCCCCAAATAGTATTGCTCACTATAGAAAATTATAAAAATTGAAAGATTATTCATAATTTCATTGCTCACAAGGGTCATAGCCCCCAACACGTCCCAGTCAGTGGTTGCCTCTGGTTTGGAAGTTGGGGCTAGGAGGGTATTCTATGGTCGCAGAACCACACTGGCCTGTGTGGAATTGATCTTGTCTGTGTTCATGGCAGCAAGAGAACAAGACTCTGAGCCACCAAAGATAGCAAAATAGGCCTTTGACAAAGCTCAATACCAGAGCTTAGTGGCAGGCTTGGAACAGAACTAAAAGCTCCTACTTTGGGATTTTTTTTCTTTCTCTTTCTCTCTTTTTGAGTGCCATCTCAATCTAATTCTAGGTGTAAGAGCACTGAAGCTAGAGTAACTCAGTAATTAGGCTACACTTGCATAACTCAGTTACTGTAAACTTCATTTCAGCTCTGCACTAAAATGATTTGTGACTCTGGGCACTGTGTCTTCTCCATACTTGAATTTTCTCGTCCACAAAATGAGGACAGTGATAACACTTTACCTCATGGTACATTAAGGGTGACAAAGACACTGCAAAGTGATTTGCAAACATGAGGTGTCACATAAATTATGCACCGTTCGAATTGCCCTGCGGCAGCAGGGTCCCCGCTTGCTGCTGAAAGGATAATGTAGAGTGAGAAGTCATCTTGGCTGCTTGTCCACGTAAGCACATGGGAATTTACTCCATCATTCAGGTCCTTCAGAGACATTGGCTCCCTAATCAACCCATTCCTAGGCGTTCTTCCTTTTGCCCAAAGCCAGTTTTGCAAAAGACATCCTTAATCCCTCTTGCTTATGCCCAGAGGTGACAGAATGAGTCACCCATATGGAGCAAACAGCATATATGAGCTAAAACAGTGAACTGTTAACCAAGGCACAGGTCAATGCCTTGTTTTCTTCTTTACTATCCTCCTAACGTTACTTCTAGCTGTACATGCCTTTGTGGTGGGAGAAGATCAGCTTCTAAAACATTTTAACAATCTGTTCAGTTTAAGATTGGGAACAAGGTTAAGGAACTAGGGTCTCTCTCTTGTCAGTTGGTGGAGCTGAAGGTATCAGCAAAAGTGCATGGGTTCTTACAGGAATTCCTTTGGGTGGAGTCTCTGGGTAGAATCTGAAAAAACTGAACCTTAGGTTCTACACAAGGAAAGAACGAACTTCCAGGAGGGTTTGTAAACTCTGCTTTGCAGGCAATAAGGTTTTGGTGTTATTGTGAGACCTTCTCTAAGAGATGGCCATGTCATTGCTCCCTAGATGGATGGAGCCCCACCAACTAGAGAGGGTGTTTGTTCACTATTGAGAACCAGAGAGCTGGGTGTAAGCTTGGGGGTGGCACGGCAGGAGCTCAAACCTGGCCTCCCTTTGACAGACACCGACCTCAGCCATCGCAACTCCTCTTCATTTCCAGGGCCTGGGTGTTGCTCCTTGGGGAACCCTGTGTCCCTGTGTCCTCTCCTGCCTCCCATGTCTCCCTCTGGTTAAGCCTCTCCCTTCCTTTCCTGGTCACCTGTAGGCCCCTCCAGCCTGGATGGATCAGGGTGTCTGTGTTGTGAATGGGATGATGCCTTTCTTGTGGAGAGCTCTCACTAACTCATTCTCATACTCCTGTCCTGTTTCCACCCCTGGTGGGTCTGCTTTGCTATTCAAGACTATCTGTAAAAATGTACAAATAAAAGTGGAAATTGAACATAAGGGGGAGGGGCTTGAGACTAAACGAATGCATAGATGTAGTCCTCCGTTTTCTGAGGACCTGTGTGGCTGTCCCAGAATCCTGACTGGGTGGGACTAGAAGGGAGGGAAGCCATGGGCATAGGACTTTTTTCTGGTCGTTTCTCTGACGGTCCCTAGCGTCTGCTCGTAACTCTCTGTCCCAAAGGGTTTTGCCTTTAAAGTAAACTGTATTTTCCAAAAGTGAAAGCAAGTCAATAAGGTCCTAAGTGTGAAGGTGACCGTGAAGATCAACACAGAGACCTGATCCTGGGGTCGCACGAGCAGCTTTGTCAGGGGCTTGCTCGAGGCCTCGGGCACGTCTTGTTACCTCACCACGTCTCCGTGTCCTCCCAGCCAAATGGGGAGCAGGGGGGCTCCTGGGCACCAAGTCTCCTTGGCCATCCTGCCGTTCATTTTAGAGAGGCCTCGAGCCCACACAGGTGCGTGCTCACGTCACGGAGGTACATGTGGAGAGTTCCTCCCTGCTGCTCTCGCCTCACTTCCGGTCCTCGGAAGGTAACCTCAAGTTCACGGACAGCTTGCGCTCAGAGTCCAAAGCCTTCGATCTACCTTTCATTCTCAGATGCCTTCCCCCCGACTTTGACCATCTCATTTACTGTTGTTACAGACAGAGCTTTGCTGTGCTGGGGTAGGAGGAAGGCTGTCAAAGGACATGATGCATATGAATTGCTTTGTAATCTGTGACTCACCACACAGACCTGGCTTGTGGTGTCAGGAGTGGGAGTCTGGCAAGGGATGCTGCCAAATCAGAACGAAGAAATCCCAGGCAGGTGGTGGGGTCAAGGCAGTGGGCCGCAGAGGGGGGTGGCGGTGGGATTAAGATAATAAAAAAAACCCTTTGAAGGGAAAATGGCAGAATCACAGAGCATCCTCAGCATGGCAGCAGAGAAGGAACCCCAAAAGGCAGGAAGGGCACCCTGAAGGAGGAAAGAGCAGCGTGGGTGACCTTATCACACAGAGCTGCCTCCCCCCAGGACTGAGGAGACTAGTGCCCCGGGAGCGGGGTTCACACTAGGCTTGGCCAGGACCTAACCCCTCTTGCTCCCGTGCCTTCTTCCCAAACCTTCCTCTTCTCTGAAGGTCCACGTGATCATCCCTGGGACCAGCATCAGGAAGGCAGTTTAATCCAGTGCGTCTCACAGAGATACAATGTAAGCCACATATGCAATTCAAATATTCAAGTAGCGATCAAAATACTAGGCCCATTTTTCAAAGTCCAGAGAAACAGATGAAATTAATTTTAACACAGATTTTAACCCAGCATGTCAAAACTGTTATTATTTTAACATGGAATCAATATAAAAAACTTA